TGTCTGGAGGGTGACCTTTAAGCCCCATAAATATTCATATGTGAAGTGCCTCAAATATGCTGATCATGCACCCCAAGGGAGTTCTTGCTGGGTGCAGTAATGCACAGCTCCCCTTGGGGGCGCTGTCCATGACGTCCTCTATCATTTTGTGACAGCTGACCACCTTGGGACCAAACGGCGGCCCTGTAGGCTCACGTGACCCATGCTCCAGCAGGCTGACAGGCATGAATGAGGAAGATGGAAAATGATGGCCCTACACCCCTTCCACCATCCACCATCCGCCCCCCCAGCCCCTGCAGTGAGATCCAAGCTTTCCCACGAAAATACAGGGGTCAGGGCCGCTCGTTCAGACAGTTGGAACAGAGGAATCCCAAACATTCCCACCCACATAGCCCGCCCCCCAAACCACAGCTCCTCCCACTGTCCCCACCTCCCAGCAGCCTTGATTGGTCAGCAGGGAAACAGCAGGTGTACTGCTCTGACTCCTGCTCTTTGTTTTGATTTCATTTTCATTTTTCTTAATTTTCTTTTCAGTTAATGGCTTGTGCTGGGGGGGGGAGGATTGTAGCCCCCTTCTGCTGACCCCAGCTGGGGGTAGCTACAGAGGCATGTGGATACTATTCAGAATTTGGGCCTGGTATCCAGAATTACACACACTCACTGCCTGCAAGCCCCCCCTGCCTCTATGAGGGCACAGGCTGCTCTGGAGGGCAGCCCCCCGCTGAAAGGTTACTGATAAGAATAGGTCCGACCTCTGAATGATTTATCATCTGCCATAGCAGCCAGCTCAGCTCCCGGTCTCGTGCCACACGTGACCCCCAGGGCCAGAGACAGAGCCTGGTGCCAGAAAGCGCCCTGAAGGAGCAGGGGGGGGGGGGCAGGCGGACCTGTCAGCACCTGGGTGTGGCCGTCACTGGCATCCGGAGACCTTCAGGAGGCGCTGTCTGACACGGCAAGTCAGATGTGGGTCGTGTCTCTGGGCAGATTGTGTTGTCGGAACATGCAGTTCTGAGGCTCACCTAACACCCCCCCCCACACACACATCCTCGTACCGACTTGCCTACTGATAAGAGGTACATTTACTCACCGTGGAACGTCTCACAACTGCAGGGCGGTGCATTCAGTGGTCAGATACACACACACAGATACACACGCATGCATACCAACACACTCAAATATAGATATACAGAGAAGAGGAGTAGCAGAGGAGCCAGCACAGCTGGGTCGACCCTTACACCTTTATTCACACTTTGCAGGTTTTTAATGTGAAGTTAAAGCCAGATGGAGAAACATAGTGCCTTAGGGTTGGGCTTAGGGTTAGGGTTGGGCTTAGGGTTAGGGTTAGGGTTAGCTGGAGACTGGGCCGCCGCGGCAAAGCCCTAGGCGCGGGAGGCCCTAAGTGCGGGAGGCTGCAGGGCTGCAGGCTCACACATGCCCGTCACGCTGCAGCCGTGACCCCGCCCACATCCCAGGCGCCCGCCAGAGGACAGCCTTTTCAAGGGCGTCTGTGTCGTTTGCCCTGATAAACTGCGGACTAATAAACGGCTTTCGTTAATTATTACATCTGGCAGATAATGTCTGGCCTTTGACCCAGCTGTGATCAAAGTCACCTCCAAGAAGGCGTTCTTCTGCAGTGAACAGGTCCAGTGCAGTTGCCTGGGTTCAGAACTAGCAATAACAGACTGGCAGCCCCAGCATGTGACCTGTGGTGTCTGGGTAACAGTGTGTTACTGGTTTGTATTCATTTCACATGAAATTTTGCATAACTGAAGTATAATCCAGGTGCTAATACTCTACGAAGGTTTAATAAATACCTATGGAGAGAGAGCGGTGTGTGTGTGTGTGCGGGTGTGTTCTTAACCCTGTTAGGGTATTAAGCACTAGTTAATAAACCTAAACCTACACTGGGAACATTCTCAGGAAGCATATCTGCTGCAGCAGCCCTTGGTCATGCTCCAGCTGGCTTTAACATTGTGTTATATACCTGGGCGTCCCCCCTGGCGGCAAAGTGTGAATGAGTGTGCGAGGGTCATAGCGACCTAGCCGTGCCCACTCTTGTGGCAAGATGGGGGGTACTCCCCAGCACACTGGGGCTCGAGGAGATGAGACTCCCAGGCATGGAGCAGACCAGGAACGGGGTGCCTCTGCCCTCCGAATTCAAAACATCCTCCAGAGCTGAGAAAAGAGATGTATAAACACCACTGTAAATCCGGTATTGATTTTGCCATGGCTCTGTGAGAGTGACCGTTTCATCACGCTTCCAGGAAGGAGGGGGCGCTGTGCTGTCTAACGATCACGACCGGCGCCTACGTCAAGTCAAAAACGGCACTCAACATGTCACGTCCACTGTGGGGAGATCATGTGACAGCAGGCTTGTCAGCGGGGGAGGGTGGACGCACTGCCATTACGGCATTCGGCTCAAACACGCGACATCCAGAGACTCCTTGTCGGAAACTGCTGGCAGTGCAACGGCTCATGGCAACATGTGCAAGCTGTAGTATTATGGTATGGAAGGATGCTCAGGAGTAGGTGGGACCAGACTGCGTAGCACACTCCAGTATCAACATACTCCATTTATGTCACACTTTATTTACATATCGGAGTGAAATATTTATACTACCTGAAAAGCTTATACAGACAGCGTACTAAAATCCAAAGTCACAGGCCTCATTTAGAGAGAATAAATCAAACAACAGACGTCACGTCTGCTTTCAGACATATACCCCCCCTGGTGGTAACAAACGACACTGCAAACCTCAGAGAGACCAAGTACAAAAAAACAGGTGTTTCTATAAAAGGCTTCAGGACACAGAGAAGCTGTGTCTTCAGAAGCAGCAACAGCCCCCGTTTATGCTGTACGGTGGCTCTATTTGGTGAGTCGGGCAGATCCCAGGTGTGAAGGACACAGATTGCATGGGTGGTGTACCAGCTGGGGGTAGGGAAGGCTGCAGAAATCTGTGGTATCCCGGGTGAACTTCTCCAGGCTGGTGGTAAGGCTGTACTCCTGGCATTGCAGTCAATCTTTGCTTCCATTTGTCCTTGCTGGGGTCATCTTCAACAGGATTCATGATCACTTGCTCACCTGTCAGCGACCGGAACAGTCTGGTTTTACGCCTAAGAAGTCTACCATCGACCACCTCCTGGCAGTTAATGTTCTCATTGAGCACAAATGTGAACGTTTCTTTGCAGCCTTTGTCGATTATTTTCTTAAAGTGTTCTACTTGGTCGATTGAGCTGCCCTATGGGACATCCTGGGACTTTGGGGGACCCCCCCCCCCCCCGAGGTTGCTGGATGTCATGGCCGGCTTATACACCGGGACTGTGAGTGCTGTGCAGAATAGAAGCAGAAGCTCTACATTCTTCAGGGTTAGTTTGGGGTGCATTCTTGCTCCTACTCTGTTCAATGCTGAGGACCCGAGTGTGTGGACCAGGCCAAGGTGACTAGCTACCTGGATAGCAGCTTCAGCATCTCTTCAATAAGGAATGTTTATTTAATATTTAGTGTAGTGACTGTCTGTGGCCAAGAGGGGGCCCCTATACCTCAAGGGCCCCATATTTGAGTGATAGTAAATACTGCCCCTGCTTAGGAACCCTCTTTGGATGAGTTTGGGCCGCTCACTCCAGCAATAAAAGTATACTGGACCACCACCCCCCCACCATCAACAATGCGTGTCAGCAGAAGGGAGTCTGTCTCTTTAAGAGGCCCACGAGGGACATCTATCCACATGCTTTTCCCTCCCGTCACGCCATCAGTGCGAATCGACTCCTCAAGGGCAAGTGCATGTGTGGGCTGGGCAATGTAATGCTGGGGGGCGTGTGTCACCTGCATGGGAGATGGTGGTATCGCAGACCCGATCTCTGTGACGACTCGTGTGCCACCCATGAAACCTGTGCTTATCTCGCCGTGAATTTACTCACAGTATGTAAACATGCCAGGTAAGGAAGGTAAATGTCATGTGACCCTCAGCGAGCCGCTCATGAATAAAACACAGCATTGACTCTGTTTCAGGGAACGGTGTGGGGTTCCGGGAGACCCGGGCAGATCAAAGGGAGCGACGTGAAACAAACACTGCTGATCCAATTGATGCCCTGATGCTTGGCTGGCAGGAATTAGATTTCAGCAATGACATGTGATGATGTAATGCAGCAGGAACAGTCACACTCATTGGTATTAATATTTAGTGTAATTTACCGTAAATTAGCTCCTTATACACACTTTGGAATCACCTGACTTTTAAAAGTACAGTCACGCATTTTATCTATCTGTCCATCCATCCATCCCTCTTTTAATTGCTTATCCCAGGCAGTACAGCACACAAGGCTGGGATACAGCCTGGACTGTCTTTGGGCTGCGGGAGTACCCAGAGGAAAGCCAAACACAGAGTGGAAGTGGGATTCGAACCCACAGCCCTGTGGGTGTGAAGCGACAGCACTGTGGCACTGTCTGAGATTAATTTTGATTACAGGTGTACAACAGAACGCTCCTCCTGGGATTAAACAATAAAAGTGTAGGTTGACCTGAGCGACAGGTGACTGATCCTAACAAAGATAACAGTAATGTCAGGGTGTTTTAGGGAAAATCAAAATGGTGGTGGGGGGGGGTTCTGTGACCTCACCCAAAACACACAAACACAGCAAGTTCAGGCCTCACATGAGCATGGAAGGAGGGTGTTTTCCCAGGACCTGGACTAGAGGGGGCTCAGAATGAAACTTTCCTGATTGGCAGAAGGTACCAAGGGGGCCCAAGGTGACATTCTGTCAGGAGGCCCATTATTCCTTGCTACACCTCTGGGTGCGGGTACCAAACAATCCCGCCTGTTTACACACAACAGACCAGCAGGTGCAGATCCCTGAGAAGGTTCTGGAGTGTAGCGCCTGGCCGTTGGCACTCTAGCCATCGGGCCATAACGTGTCACAGAGCCGTGAGTTTGGTCACGTCGGCTCTCCGTGGGAACACCCTCCTCTCTCGTCACATGACACATTCACCAGACACAGGAGCACGCAGTTTCAAACACTTTAATTATGGACCACAATTCAACTACTACCGGCAAACAGGGCCTGGCCAGCAGTATGTACCACTCCAGTGCATTCCTCTTCACAGATACGTCCACACATAGAACCACTCACAGCAAAGCATAATGGGACACAGCCTGGCCACAGTCACTTCCTGGCGAATGGGAACTGTTGGGAAACATGACACGGTGCCCACCAGGCACATGATTGGCTACCAGGGCATGGTTCAAGTTATGGATGAAGGAGCCCCGGGTCAAAAGGTACAGGTCTAAGATAAAACCACCACACATGCCTCCCTGGTGGTCTGAAGATCACACCTCTCTCTGTGTCCCCCCAAAAGAGTTTGTAGATGTTGGGTGGTCTTCATCAAGGAGCCAGATCACTGAAGGGGGCATGAATGTGGATTTTCAGCTGAGCACACTGAGGAAGGAACAGAAAACCTGCCCCAGGAGGAGATAGGGCCATAGACCCCCCCCAGGTGGGTCACGCATCCGTCCTGATGGGCTCCCGTAGAAAGGAAAGCCACCTCCAGGGACCTTCCTGGGTTTCATTCCAGTTTCAGGAACATCTCCTTTACATTAAATATGAATGGGCTAGTGTCAGGTTACTGAACAGCGGGCATGTTTGGCAGGAGGGCCCGGCTGGTCCCCGTGTGAAGCGGCAGGGAGCTTCGGGCATCACATACAAACAGGAAATGAGGCGCGCGGATATCTGGGAGCAGGGCCTACGCTCTCAGCGCTAACGACAGCCTGCTAAGCACCTGTGCTCTGTGTCATTGCATTGCCTAATAGACGACCGGCTCTGTCCCAACAATTAACAGCTTCAAAAGACTGCAGACTTACCAATGCCGTCCAACAGGTTCTCGTTCTTAAATCATGGCCCAGAACAATGGCGGTTCTCTGTCATCTCTGGTGGCAGCCAGACTGATCCAGTACTGGGGAATTATACTGCAGTTTCTGGAGCCTCCAGCAGGGGGCAGCAGCACCAAACCTCTTGCTTCATTCCTGAGCTATTTTTAGCCCATTGACCAGAGACAGTTATTTATAGACGTGCGTGGCGTGTCACGCTAGGAGAACAGTAGTCAGGAGATGCCAGAACCTCTCTGAGCTGCAAGCGTACGATTTAATGCAGGCACAGGCCGAACATGCTCAGAACCAACCATGACAGTCCCTGTGGTAATAAAATTAAAATTAATGGTTATAAACTGCAGCAAGAGAGGCCTGCTTAAGGTTGTTATGCTTCTGCCTGCCAAAAAAAATCTCTCCTGGACAATCAAGATGCACAATCCCATGGCTGATTTAGCAGCACAGGTGATGGTACAGTCAGTGTAAAACACAATCGCAGTCTGTTCAGTAGTAAAGGGGATCTCTACTATTCAGCAGGAAGCCCCCCCTACACACAGACCCCCTGGACTAAACCATCCTCGCTTTGTGAAATAAATAGCATAAATAAATATGAGCATAATAAATTAAAAAGATGCTTTAGAGCAGCGTGTGCAAGTGAGCAGCGGCTGTGCCACGCGGGAACCTTCCCGTCCCACATGAATCATCGGATGAATAATATCACTGCTGAGTGCAGCCCCACAGGAGCCGTACAATCAATACTGACTGGTAATGAATACAAGCCACAGGAAAGAGCATTTTCTGCCCTCTAGTGGACAGCTCAGAGAATGCACAAGAATTGGCACAGTAAAATTATGTTAAGTGATGCTTTTCTTCTTCTGTCTGCAGCTGAACATTTTAAAAGAACATTCAGCAGAGCATGGAACTTGCAACCTTCTCATCAGAACAACACAAATCATTTTATCAATATCATAACATGGTTGCTCACAGTCTAATTCAGGATTCTATCAGCTTGGCTATGACTCCTCCCCAAAATCCATGAGTCTCTTTAGGGAAAGCAGGTCCTAGGCACATACTGTATAAATATCCCATGAGAGGACACTTAGGACTAACCTTAACCTTATATGGCGAACAGCACCAGTTTCCTGAGCTCTTGGACCAGCACTACACACAAGCCAACATGCTGAGCCCGAATGAGTCACTCAGCCAGCCTGTAAACACCACGTGAGTCATGCAGACAGCAGGGGGCTCCACCAGCCCCATCAATCCAGGGAGCATCGATATATCATCGTGCTTAAGCTGCCCTCTAGCACATGGTCACTTTAAGAGGAGGCAGGGCCAGAAGCAGGGGCAGGGCAAACAGGTGGCAACATCACTGGCAGTCCTGGCGATATCTCCAATGGGAAAGCAGATTCCTGGGATCTTGGGGGTAAGAATACCAGGTTCTAACAGTAAGGGGGGGAGGGCTGGAGCGCTGAAGAGGGCACCATAGTCAGGTAACTGGAGGGCACGTAGCCGCGCTGGCCACGGACCTCCACCAAGCTCCACTCGGGGTTGCCCCGCTTGTCGTGGGATTCCAGGAGCCGCACGGGCTCACCGGCCTGCAGGGTGACCTCATGCCGACTGCGTGCCGTGAAGTCATAGCCCGCAACTACCTAGAGAGAAGGAGGGATCCATCCAAACACAGCTCAGTCTATTGCAGGAAGTGACACTTTCTGCATCAGGTATCATGTTCTGATGCCACACTGAGACATGTGTACCCATTTAGGTCCAGGCATAACAGTGTGACTGATTATTGCTTTTAAAGTAGGTTTTAGCAAGAAGTAATATTTACTATTTTCTCAAATCAACCTAATACAAAGAGCAAGTTGAGGGAGGCGTAAAAAGAATTTCCCCACGGGGACAATAAAGGATCTATTATTATGATTATGATTATGATTATGATTATTATTATTATTATTATTACGACACAGGAGGCCCATCCTACGCCCCCTGCTGGTCATCATGTTAACCTCTCACACATGTTCCCGCTGCATAATGGCCAGACAGACAGCTGCATGATGTCAAGTTCAGGTATTGCTGTCTCAGGAATGTCTCAGGAATGTCTCAGGAATATCGCTGAAGTCACACCCTCCGGACAGCCTGCTTCCCCCCCCCCCCCCCAGGAACTCACCTGGAAGTAGGGTGTGGTCACAGTCCTGGCCGGCTGGGCCAGCGGGGTGTAGGAGTGCCTTCTGCCTTCTGTCCGGCTGATGACGGTGGCGATGTGTGGCGACAGGGGTGAGTCCTTGCTGACCTGGTGATAATGCACCAACATGGCCGACGGCACATAGCCTCTGGGCCCTGCAACATGGAGAATCGAGCCGCTCATGCTTGGAGCGCTGCCCGAGTCATTAAGCAGCTCCGACTTTAAGATTAGTTTCTATGGAAGTTTTGAAAGCGTGATAAAAACAGACAAACAGATAAATTGATGGACACAATATTATACCGGACAGAAAGCAAAACATGTAAAAAATTTCCCAGCCCAGAATAAGATCTGTCTATGAAGAAAATGAATTAAGGTTCTAAAGTTCAACATGAATGTTAAACACACCTACAATTAATTAGTGCATGTTAACATCCAGATTAATGTTGTATAACAGCCAGCCATAACTCATTAGTTACAAAGTTGTTTTAAGTGAAACCCAGCAGGGACAGGGTGACCAAGCTCACACCGCTGACGTCAATGACGATGATACGTCAGGTAGCAGTATCATCAAATGGCCACCAGGGGTCACCACTTTCATATGAACAGATTTGCTTGACATAAAAAAAACTGAAAGTTGTTAACAGTGTTGAATCCTATAGGTTTAGCCTCACCCCCTGCGTCCACCAGCCAGCGGCGCCGGTCTCCGCGGGTGTCCATCTCGGTCATAAGTGCCACCAGCTCTCCCCGCTGCAGCGTCAGGTCCAGCTCACGGCCACCAGTCACATGACCCGTCAACTGGTAGATCTTGCTCGGGCCAAACTTGTCTGTCAGGATCTTCAGGCGCCTTTGGGAGGTGGGGCTGAGAGGCTGTTACCATGGAGACATGGCTGGGGTTTAGGTGAAGACTGGGAGTTGGAAGACCTCGTTAAGGTTGTCAGATACCCCACTAGGGGGCATTATTGCAAGAAAAGGGCACTAAGAGGAACATGAATCTCATGTATTTAAAGCATGAGACACCAGTTAAAGCAGCTAAAATGAGTCACATCCAGGCATGTTTCACGAACTATTTAAAAACCGGAGACCATAACACGAAAACAGCAACTAAGTGAGTAAATGAATATATATATGGCTGCTCCAGTTTCCACCCTCTCGACCCACCAGAGAATTTCACGTTGTCCCACCAACGGTTCCTGGCAACAAGTTACTATACCATAACAAACGGCCACAGAAACAGAAGCTGTTTGCTCAGACCTGCACAATGGGGCCTTTCAGGTCGTCCTGTATACTCTGAATCAGGCCGTCCAGTCTTTCCGCCTGTTCACAGATGCAGCCCTCTGCCCACTCCCAGAATGCACTGGGCTTGAGCTGGCTGTGTGGGAGCTGCAGGTTAAATAGGACAGAAAACAAACCGGGTATTTTCATTTGAAGATGGCGCGCTTAAAGGAGCGTGCATGTACCTTAAAAGTGTCCACAGGACCAGCAGAGAAAATGAGTTCTGCACACCAGGGGTGGTGGGCAGCTAAACAGAAAGGAAATGTAAACATTGCAAAGTAGTGCAGAGAGTTTGACTCCCGTTTCCTCATCACTGGTATTGAGGGACTGAGGACCAGAAATCCCTACATGTTTCTCTCCATCTTTAATTTTAATCCAGCGCTGCCCCCTTATGGCTCCCCCCGGAAACAGACATCATTACATCAGGATGACGCGAGGCATGCTAACAGCACCTTCCCATACTGTCCCATCCCATCCGAGCATGACATGGAGGCACATAACTTTATGCAGTCTGGGAGAGTAAGATACGAGGAAGGGACAGGGGACAAGGGACCAAAATCCCATGCGGATTCAGAGGACAGCCCCACCCCCCTCCAGCAGTCACCCAAACATGCAGAAGATCAGACCAGAAGCCCCCCCAACCTCATTAGTGTAGCTCGCAAACAGCTGCTCCACGTCAGCTGCCAGGTCGCGGTGCAGGCAGCTGAATGTGCCCAGCGCCCCCCAGAGGAGCTGCAGGGCGGTGGCGTTGAAGCTGGGCAGCTCGGCCAGCAGCAGCGCGTTGATGGTGCGGTACGCCGTCGCCACCTCCTGCTCCTCGTAGCTCAGGTTGCTCTTCTCACCCAGGGCCTCGAAGTCCAGCAGCTTGTCCATCCGCTTGCGGATCAGGTTGCGGGGCCCCTGCAGCAGCTCCCGCAGGGAGCACAGGGGTTTGCAGACCAGCGTCTGGACCCGGTGCTCCTGGGGCAGACCAGAGCGCAGAGCAGGCGGTGAGCAAGACAGCCCAGATATGCAGAGGGGTTTAATACTGAAATGAACTTCTGTGAAATCTATGACGATATAAAGAAAAGCTGTACAAGGGAGTCAGACACTGCAAATGATGTCTCTCTCACTCCCTGTTTCTGTCTGTCTCCCTGTCCCTGTCACTCCCTCCCTATCTCCCTGTCACACTCTCCCTCTCTGTCTCTCTCTGCCCATCCTGCAGAATCCTGCCTCCTGTCTCACTCACCACCTCCTGCCACTGCCAATGATGTAGACACTTACGAAGGTGGGGTAGATCCACTCCCGGAGGGCCGTACTGATTTCCTTATAGCAGACAGCAGCCTTGTCCCCCACTATGTCCAGGTCATGCTCCTCTGGTCTGCATTGGAGATAAAGCTACGGGGGGGAGAGGGGAGGGTTAATCACATGGTAAAGCGTGTTATGGATTCCCTAGCAACACCAACATAAGGTCTGTGACAATGTCCAACTGAATTAGAATTAAGAATTAAGTGATCAGTGGTCATTGTCAACACACCACAGCACACAGTGCGCAACAACGAAATGTGTCCTCTGCATTTGACCCATATGTGACTTTCGTGACATAGCAGGGGGCAGCTAATTCAGCGCCCGTGGAGCAGTGCTTGGGGACGGTACCTTGCTCAGGGTACCTCAGTGGTGACTTGCTGGTGGGGGATTCGAACCCGCAATCTTTCAATTACAAGTGCGCTACCCTAACCATCAAGCCACCACAGGATGCTCCCATGCAGGTTAATAAGATCAATAAGCCAGGAAGAGCAGTACCAGGGTAACTCAACAAGCACAAACATGCCTGCGTCTCCCTGCCCCAGCAAGTGAAGAAACAGCTTTTGAAGGGAGGAGACACAACACAATGGACAAACGCACAAAACTGACCATGTGGGGGCAAGATTGGGGGGAGGCATTCCTGACTAATGACATTAAAGGGAAAAAAACAGGACGGCAAATGACACTGAATGCAGCCTCGAGTGAGAATGCGAGGACGAACACAGTGGCTGTTAGGGACTCTGTGCCTCTCCCCCCCGTCACCAACCTGCTTCACATACCGTCCGTGTGACACGGAAGCAGGCGGCCTTGTAACCAAAACATTCAGGGGATCTCAGCCATTCCTTCATTTTACTATTTTTATTTTAGCAGATGCTTTTATACAAAGTGATGTATAATTAAGAAAGCGGGTGAGCCAGGGACTGGACCAACTGGGGCTTAAGGGCCAATGGTAAAATCACTCTGGGATTTAAACCGGAGACTTTCTGATCATGAGGACAGCATACTGACAAAAACCATTCTACCAAAATAAGCCCCTTCTTCTTGTGTATATTAATACACGCTATGCATCATCAGAACATGCAAAATAACATCAGTACGAATCAGGCCTGCAAGTGCAGGGAAGGGTGACTAATTCAAAGGAGGGTTTTGGAGGGAGAATTAGCACTGCACTGCAGGCCTGTGAACCGCACTGCAGGCCTGCAAACCCCACTGCAGGCCTGCCAAAGCAAATCCCCAAACCTGCTCACCTGCATACAAGTAAGGAAGGCTATCACATTCTCATGAAGGTTCACGACCCCCCTTTCCAGGACACAGAAAAATCCCTGTAGGACATCGAATTCTTCATCCTTCAGCTAAGAGGGAGAGAGTATAGAAGTGAGATCGCATTTGGAATGTTTCCATCTGACACTCATGGTTTTAGGGGCATCTGAGGGCACATCCTTGGCACACCGGCTCAAACGTGGGCCGCTTCTTGCAAATGTTTGAACAACAAGGTCACATGGCAAAGGTCCCCGCGCTCAGATACGTGGCACAGGGAACAGGGAGCAAAGGGCAGTATGGCAGCCATTATCAAACCGGAGGCACCGCCCACAAGTTAAAGACAAAAGCAATTGATACAAAGGGTCGGATTCTTCAGATTGTTTTTGGTTTAAAAAAAAAAAAAATGGGAGAGAACAGCAAAGTGTAATTAAAAAAATTAATTTAATAAAATTAAAATTGGGATGAGCCAGATAGCGAGA